GGGCTTAGGGTTGAGGGTTCAGGACCTTGATTCAAGGTTTAATGGTTTGGGTTGTGGGCTTTGGCCTTCGAAGCAGACGGGCGCAGCTCCCACTCAAGTGTCATCTGAAGGGATGAGCCTAGCCAGTACCTGATGCCTTGGTATGTCAGGGACAGACCAGTCGAAGCATGAAGCCCTTGGCATCTGACATAGCCGAAGTGCAGCAGTGTGCCGAAGATTTTTATCTCAAGTCGGCATATCGTGACATGGCTTTCGGGGCCCAGACTTGCAAGCCTTGTTCTCAGCATGCAGACACCTGGTCAGAGGGAGCATCCTGCAGCCGACCTAGTGCGCAGTAGCATGCCGCACACGCCAGAGATGGAGCAATGGGAAGCCATGGTGCTTTCCACCATTCGCCACTATGACCAGAATGCAGCCTCTTTCTGGGAAGGAACAAAGGACCACGACGTGAGCCAAAACCGCGATGCCCTGCTGACCGCTATGGGGCAGCCGCTGGCAGGCAGGACGGTCTTGGACTTTGGCTGCGGCCCAGGTAGAGACATTGCCTACTTCCAGTCCCTCGGTATGAAAGTCACTGGGCTTGATGCAAGTAAAGAGTTTGTACGCATGGCCAGGGAGTACACCGGGGCGGAGGTGCTGCACCAGGACTTTCACAAATTGGATTTGCCCCCATCCTATTTTGATGGCATCTTTGCCAACGCTTCCCTCTTCCACGTGTACAGGACGCACCTGCCGGCTGTCTTGTCAACTCTGCATGATGCTCTTGCTCCGGGTGGTATCTTGTTCTCCTCCAACCCTCGTGCCGATGAGGACACCGAGAACTTTTCAGGTGGGGCGTTCAGAAATCCGGGTACCGCACTTAGGACTTAGGATCCCTTGCAATAAGGATCCCATCGTTATGGACTCCACATTGGAGTCCGCAAGTTTGAAAGTGGAGCTCAATCCTAAAGCTGTCACATCCCGACACTCTCAGCCCTCTCAGGTAGGTATGGATATTACTTGTGTTACGAGACCTATGCCGAGCTTATGAAGAAGGCCGGCTTCGAAGAGATGGGTCATTTCTACAGACCGCCAGGAAACTCGGCCGTTCTTGGCAAGAACTTGCTGAGCATCGTCTAGTATGTTGATACTGCAACCAGCTTATGGTTTTATTAAGGTATCGTGTTCAGACTGCAGAAAGCAGCCCAGGAAAGCCCAGGCATCTGCAGCCTTGGTTGGCTTCCACGTGGCGCAAACTGCGGTAGCACTCCTAGCACGCAAGTATTGCTTGACTTGTTTTATGCTGGTCCTTGCTGCTACTGCTGCTGCTGCTGCTGCTGCTGCTGCTGCTACTGCTACTACTACTACTACTACGACGACTACTACTACGACTACTACTACTACTACTACTACTACTAACGCTACTATGACTACTGCTACGACTGCTCAATTTTTATGGCCCTACCACTACTCCTACTACCACCACTATTACCACCACCACTACAAACCACCACTAGTGCTGCTGCTGCTGCTTCTGCTCCTGCTACTAACTATCTTCCTCTTCTTCCTCCTCTTCTTCTACTACTACTACTGCTACTACTACGACGACGCCTGCGACTGCTGCTACTCCTGCTACTACTACTACTATTACTACTACTACTACTACTACTACTACTACTACTACTTTTTTTGCTGCTGCTGCTGCTGCTGCTGCTGCTGTTGCTGCTGCTGCTTCTACTACTGCTGCTACTACTACTGCTGCTACTACTGCTACTGCTTCTACTACTGCTGCTACTACTACTACTACTACTACTACTGCTACTGCTACTGCTTCTGCTTCTGCTACTACTGCTTCTGCTACTGCTACTACACCGAAGTCGTAGCCCAGCTTCGCATCCAGATCCTTCGTCGCAAAGCGCCGTGAGGACCCATCGCCCTGTGCCGGCAAGGCTCGGCGGGCTCAAAGGTCAGTGCTTTAGCTTTTAGGTCGATGGGTGGCGATAAGGGCACTGCCAACTGTCGAGCTTCCGAACTCACGCAGCTCCCATCCGCAAGTTGCGTCACGGCACAGCACAGACTCGTAAAAGGGCTATGACAACTGGCACAAGCTCCGCTGATCGATAGAACGAAAGGGTACTTTGAAGACGCACCCGGCACTGTTTACAGGCTACCTCCGCCGGACCGTTGCAAGACCTATCTTTAAAGATAGCTTGATCAGCTCCCAAACAAGGTCGAAAACAGCCAGATGCTCGGGTAGAGAAGTCGCCATCACACAGCTCTCTGGCCTCGATGCTGTGGAGGGAGCCGCCAAGGGGCAGATCTGATGTTGAGGGTCGCATCCTTTCTTGCCGAGCGCTGGGAAAGCTCAAGGCATCTTTCAGCATCTCGGTCTAACCTGGGCCTGCACTACGAGGAGCTGAGGCTTCGCAGCGACGCAGCATAACACGTCTTGCGGTAATTAATTTCAGGATTTGATGCTGCCCCTCATCCCCTTTAAATCTGGAGAGTCTTGGTTCTCCAGCATGCAGCGTCCCAAGAATAGAACAGCTTAAGCAGCTCCTACCGTTTCGCCTGGAAGATTGCAGCACCAAACGCTGGACCTCCTCATCTCCAATGCCGAAGCCGACCCGACTCTGTAGCTTTACAGCTCCGTGCCTGCGATCCCGCCGAAAAACTGCAGGGCCCAAGGTGTACTTCAGTAGGCCGTCCTCGGAGTGCTTCCCCGCTGGGCTGTCATCGGGATATAAATATAGTCTGCTATAAGCTTTGCACTGCGCCACACTGTGCCATTCGGGTGCGGGCGAGCTCGTGAGCTGAAGTTGCACTGCGTTTACGTTTCCCCGCGCCCTGAATTGTGTGATCCCTATGTGCTCCCCAGACCCACCCCCCAGGCAGGGTAGCACATAAGCACAGTACAGTATAGTCAGCACAGTAGCACAACGGCAGTGCAGAAAAGGCTGCAAATCCCTTCATAATCTTTCGCGTGATTTTTGCACGTTCTAGATGCTCACCCCAGAAAAAATATCCTGAATAAGCACCGGGAAGACACTATCATCATGGGTCATCGAAGACAACACAGTGCAACACTACTGATGTCTGATGGAGCAGTGTTGCTCGGACTCCTGCCTGTCACCTTGCAATTGCGAGTATCGGAGACGGCTTGGCCAGGACGCTGACTCAATCGATTGCCAGTGGCTGTTGCCAGGACTGGCTCTAACAACATGACTTGTCCCGGTGCCAGCATGCACCCTATCGAGCACTCCGGAAAGTTCCAGCGCTGAACAAGATCCGAAGAGATCAGCCGCAAGAGGAGCAATCGGAAAAGGCAGAACCGTGTGCAACACAAAAGGCCGCTGACACGGACATCCCTTCTCCCAGCTCCATTTACCGTTGCTCCTCCAAGTCTCTCCTAGTTCACCTAGTTGAGAACTTGGGGTGGATATGTGGGACGGGTGATTTGGCTCTCCACACCGAATATGCAAAATCGCAATAAACCGGGTAACCGGAGGATTGGCTCTGGTCTGGAACAAGCCTCTGTCTCCTTTCAGCCTAGAGGCCGTGAGCTGAATGATGGACAGGAAAACCTGACGCTATCACATCATATCACATCCCTTGCGATAGCAAGCCGACTCATCAGAGTGGCGCCACTTGGGCAACTTGTACGCATCAGACGGCATGACGAGCATACTTGTACCAACACTGACTACATTGCGATGTACAGACGCATAGGCCAAACGACTTCAACCACCAGTCACCCAAGAGCAAGAGAAATCCTCGTGCCGGGCAGCCATCGGCGAGAAGCCTGCGGGAGATTTGGGAATCGCACTGCCCAGAGCACCTTGGGCTGTGGAGGCAGTGCACCCACTTGCAGAGCGGCAGCGTGCGGCAGCAAAGCATCTCACTGGATGCAAGATCACAGGCTGCGATTCTCCCTGATGCTCATGTGGCGGCGCAACATGTCGCTTCGACTTACATCTATGGTGAATGCTTGTGCCGAGCGCTATCGACTGCCAGCCTCCGAATTTGAACAACCCCGTTCAGTACACATCGCCATCCAAGCCAAGCTTGCTTAAACTGCTTTGACACGCAATTCTTCCAAAGTGAACTGCCTGAACAGCGGCGTTTGCATGTGCGATCTTGAATCGGATGTCTTCTGTTCTGCTCTTGTCTACCAGCTAGCACGCCGGCTGACTGATCACTGAGACGGGGAAGCCGTTCACGTTGGGAAAGGCCGCGCAGGCCTTGGATTTTGATGTCTGCATGCATTGCCGAAAGAGGCGACAGCATCTACGATCCCAGAAGCAAGCCGATTGTGCCATAAGTAAGGCCCAGCAGCTGCTGCAGCCCCCAAGTGTTGCGAAGGGATGCCGATGGCCAGGCAGCAAAGCATCCCGAGCAAAGCGCTAACCTAGCCGAAGAGTGGGGATAGCGGGGAGCTCGGACTAGGGAGATGAAGGAATGGAAAAGACGTTGCAGTGCCAAAAGTTATGAGAGCCTCCGGTTCCCCTCTAGACCGAGAATGTCCCCGAGAGCTTCATAAACTCTTCGCACTGCAGATGCGGGCAGGTCACCGAGGCGTAGGCAAAAGGCCACAGAAGGAGCTGCCAGCCTTCCAAGAGCAAGGAGAAGTCGGCCTCGCGAGCGCCAATCTTGCGAAGAGATGCCGAGGTAAATGCGGATGGAATGTTCTGAAGACTAACCTCGGACCTCCAACCTGAACCCCGGTGCGGTGCCCCGGCTGCGCCATGTAACAAGAATGAATGTAAGTGTGTATCTGTACATGCGTGCGCACGTACGTACGTACGTCTTTACGTACGTATGCATGTCTGTATATAATATATGAGTAATATATGTCTTTCTCTCTCCCTGTCGCTGTACCTGGCCCTTGCTCCCTGTGGTTGGCGAACCAACAAACCATGCTCAAAATGCTCGGTGAGCATGCCTCGGGCAAGACGTCGGTGAACAAAAGGCAAGGTAGACAAACATCCATGGCCAGTGCTGACAAGCACTTTCCTGGGAGGCAAACTGGGCGAAGGCAACGCATTTAAATCAGAAAATTGGTGGATGTCGCGAAGATTGCGCGGATAATGTACCAAGCCGCAAAACCTAACAGAAGCCCGAGTCTCGCTTCTCTCCATTCAGTAGCTTCTTGCGCTCCAGGTGCATACCAACCTCAGTGACGCTAGGCCGACTCTCGCGACCCTGCAGAAGTCGTGCCCTGGCCGTCGGATCAAGCAGGGGTCTGCCTGCCTGAGCTGCTTGGGGTGGTGGGTGGGACTATCTGCGGTGGCCCCACTGTTGCCGCCTAGCTGCTGCTATCAACGAGCATATCTTGAGGATAGCCGTCCTGAGCGGGCTCGGTCATGGGACTGTTGGTCAACACCAGAAGAAAGTGCTGCCCCAAAGCTAAGTTGGCAGTGCACAGGGGCTTCAGTTCGTGGCGCTAAATGAGCATAACTGAGCCGAGTAGGTCAAGAAACAGGACCGCACCGGCAATGTGCCAGACATTCTCCGATATCTCCTTGGCTGCCGCGCTTAATGCTGGCTTTGAGATGCGAGGCAATTGTGACCACAACACCCTAGCAGCGGCATACCAGGACTGCCATCTCTGCGACAGTTGTGAGAGTAGCACCACGCGGTTTCATTGCGGCAGAGCCTATTGACTCGTTGAGTCTGGTCGGGCAGAGCCTCGAACATTCGGCTCCGTTTGCACTGGCTAAACTCAGCATCCTGAGCGCTTCGAATATAGCTGGAGGAAGTATAGGCTCACCAAACCACCAGCAACACCGCCGAATCACAGCCAAGCGACCATCGTCACAGCAGAAGGACACCGGGCCAAGTTCTTGCTTGGCTTGGGCCAAGCAGCTAGGTCCGGAGCCTTACCTTAATCAGCCGTACCTCTTTTGGATTGAGAACATGAACCACGGAGTACTGCCGAAACGTCCCCGAAGAGTTGCCCTGAACAGAAGCCGGGATGTTGCCCTCGATGAACTGAACCCCTCGCAGGCCAGAAGTCCTATACTACAGTCTCGGGTTGGCTCAGGGATTGGCGGCACCAGACCTCGGTTGCCTGCGGCTTTGAGCACGACGTCCATGGCCTGCACTGCAGGCTTGGAGTTCGAAGTCAAAACGCTGCTGCGTTCAAGATAAGTTTTATATAGGAGTGTTGAGTCTTGGAGCTTTCTTTCAAGTCCTGGTACCACAGTTACTGTTTGTGGCTGTCCGAGCAAGGGAAGTCTTCAATATGCTGCACAAACCAGCGCAGCAGATCTGTTGGCAGGTGAAAGACCTAACAGATGAAGCAGCAGCATGCTGGCATGGCAGTGTGCACCTTGTCAGCTGCGCCTTGCCACCGACGATCACCGGTGACTTGGGTGATAAACCGAAACTCGACCTGCGGAATCCGATATCTATCTCATTGCTTCGGATGCAAAGCTGACAGTTGGACTGTTAGATATACATCCTCCGCAGCTGGGGCGGAGCTCAGGTTCGAGTGTGCAAACTCCTGAAGAAGTTTCCTCGCCACCTCGCAGCTTTATGCGATATTCCACAGCCCATGTTCAACATCTGATCTTGAAAGTTGGCTGAAGACCACGAGACAGAGATGTCCTAAACAATCCCTCCGGGCCTGCAATGTCGTAATTTCGGCGAGCACCTGACCCAGCGAGAATCGCAAGACTTCAAGCCGAGCAGCGGCTTGGGCAACGACACTGCCAATTTCTGGCTTTTGCAGTGCGAGTGGTACTTTCTCGTCGTTTAGAAACAGACGATGAAGCCCTCTTCATCAGCCCGACAAGCTAGCCGGCCCACAAGCAAGACTGAACATTGTGACCGAACTGCACTGGGGCAGGCACGGCGTTCTGGTTCCAAGAATGTGACCCGGCTTCACCCGTTCCGATGTCAATCTTGGCAGCAAGGCGCTACGAGCGCAAGCAAGCATGGGTTCGGGACCAATCCCTGCCCCAGCCGACGCAAGTGGTACGACAAGAATCGCCCAGGGTCTCCAGCCGTCGACAACGGCATACCGCTGGGCCTGCGGAGAGCACAAGCTTTCCGGAACGAAACAGGCTCGATGCGACAAGATACTGCCTTGTGAGCCGGTACCTCTCAAAATCAAACCAGAAACTGGAAATCTGAGCTGCAAACATCTCCATAACCCTGAAGACAAGCTCGCATCATGTTGCTAAGTCTCCAGCGTGTCAAAGGCCTTCAGCAGCTTCTCCCCTAATCTCTTCGCCTATAGCGTGTCAGATAACACTTTACATGAATGCTTTGATTTGGGAGGTGAGTTTGCGGCACGAAAGGCTTCCCGAGGCGGATACTTAACTGCCTGGGTTACCAACCGTTATAAGTAATATATTCGCCAAGACCAGAGACCACGGTGGCCGGAAGACACTTTTAACTGTCGCACTCGAGTCAGCCGAATGGTTACGAAAAGTAGTAGCTGTAGAAACTTACGCAGCTTGCATAGAATGCGGCTACAGGGGTCCTAGTCGCCCCAGTGTCCGAGTAGTCTTGATCTGATCTGCCCTGAGAGCACTCAGAGGCCAACTCTTCAAACCAAGATCAGATCATTGTCAGCATGGGATCTAAATTATCTGGGTAGTGGTGTTTCGTGCTATCCACATGATTATGTGGTTCGCGGTCCATCAGCTTTGAACAGACCCCCACCCCCACGTTCTCACCTTCAATCTCGCATTACCGACGTCGGTGCCGGGCCGTGTCGAGAAAAACCTGCTTGCCGCTGAGCGAATACGCCGAGAGCAAGCCTCGAGCGCCAGGCTCGGGCTCGGAAATGCGAGGAGCAAAACACTGCGAGGAGGAGCCTCTACCAGTAGCTGACTACCCTATCGGCCCTAAAGGTAGCTACGGTGCTGTGGGGTACATACGGTCTTAACGTATTTTCACGATGGCATGCACGCAGAGATGATTTCTCTACTTAGCAAGTTAGCTTTGCTGGTACTTGTAGGATTGGATAACAAAGCACACAGATGACTAGAACAAACAGTTGGTGACGACAACAAAGAAACGAAGGACAAACGAAGAACCTGTCAAGAAAAGAGAGAGCGGAGCTATTGCCATGCAGCTTCTTGCACGCATGTTCATGTGATGATAATTATCAGTAACAGCACGTCTCATTAGACACGGTTCCCCAAAAAAGTACCGCCGACCATCTTGACATCTGGGGTTCTCAAGGCCATGGTGCTCCAAGAACGCCATGGTGCAAAAGTAAGCCCAAATCCATAGTCTAATTGACCATGATTCCGATGTTACCTCGGAAGCGAGGGCCTGCAAAGGCCCGAATGTTGATCTCGAAGAGGCTGTGCTGCCCATGCCTGCTTTCAGTGTTGTTGACTCTCCGGATTCCTGATGATCATTCATGCTCGCTAGGCCCTAATGACCTAATGCACGAGAATCGCAACCATTTTCCAAAGCAGAAACGGGCTGTGCATTAAAAGCCTGCGATGTCTCGGAGGTGGCTCTCGCTCCCACGACTGGCTGACTTTAGGGGCGGGACTTGTCTGCCGTGGGAAGGTTGGCCCGCTCCAAGTACGCAACAGCATCCTGAGAGGAGGGCTGAATATGCACCAGCCAATCCCAATTGGAAATTACCTTTCCGTCTATATCTAGGTAGAGATAGGTGATGCTTGCTTCGAGATTCCAGCAATACGGAGACTTAGCCGGCTTTCTTCGGCATTCTACCAACTTCATGGCTACACTGTTGAAGGCTAGACTCGACCCTAGCCTTCTGCTTCGCACGCTGTTGCCGCTATTGCAACGACTTTCCGTCGTGCGCATCATCCAAACAAGCTCCACGGTGCTTGAGATGCCGAGCTGCATTGAACTCTTCGTCCAGGCCCATGATCCAAAGAGTGGACCTCGATTGGCTGTGGTTTTCAGGGCTTCAGCAACAAAAGGGTTTACTTGCTTCTTGACCAGAAGCTTGACAGCCGTCGGGCCGCCGAAATGCACAGAGCTTCCTTCTGCAACAATGATGCTTCGATTATCTTGTTTATGTCTGAGGATGTACACATTTTTTGGCCCCGCATGGCATGCATGCATGTGCGCTTGTGTGTGTGTGTGTGAGAGTGTGTGTGTGTGTGTCTCTGT